AAGTTTATAAAATAGGTGACCGTTTCAGCTTTGATGTGATAAAGTATTTTTTTTTATTGGTACCCAATTTTGCTTATTTAAAGCACGCCCCAGACTGTTTAAATCCAACTTTTTAAAACGCGCGTTTTAAAGTTACCATGGCAACATCAAGAACCCAAGAAACGTCAAGTCTAAATGTCACCTTTTTAATTATTGATCTGACAGAAGTACCTTGTAACGTCAAATAAAATATTACTAACAAATGTTTGAAAAGCTTTATTCAAATATTTAACATGTTAATTATTTAAATAAATGTGAAATGTGCAGTCGGTATTGTTTGAAATATTAATGCTTCGGTTTTTTAAATCAGATGAAATGCTGTTCAAATTAATACATTTGACATTTTCCGAAGATAAGCAAGCACAACTCGTTCATCTGTATTTGTTACCTTTTGCTCTTCCATCATTTGATGAACTTGTCGTATTCTATTCTATAAGCGATTTTTGCGGTATTAATCGCGATTCTGCTTTACTATTTAAGTAATCAATGTTAGAAGTCATTTTTAAACAATATACAACTAGTAATAACTGTGGTGACAGCAATTAATCTTATGTGCCAATACAGTTACAAATTAATTTTTGTTTTCTCGTTTTCATGACAACGAAAGGTATACTGATGTAACATCACANTTTAGCTAAGTTAATAAACGCAATATATTAATAGAAAAACAAGTAAAATCAAACATTTGGTAAAACAAATTTTTTTATAACATTTCTCGGATTTTTCACTTTTTGTTAACTTTAAAAAATCATTATAAACAAATGAAAAACCTTTTATAAACTTTTACAACGGAATCTTGTTTATTATGTATATAAAAAGACCTCCCAGAAAGAAAAAAATTTGTAGATACATTATTTAAACTTTTACAAGTTTTATGAAAGATTAAGTCCACGAAAAATTAGTTCATTAACAATTGAATAACTAAGAAAAGTAAGTTAAAAATTATTTTCCAACTGGGCTGTGTTCCTTAAAGTGTCTAGATGACACTATAATTTATTTAGATTTTTAAATTAATATCGAATACTATAAAAAAATTATTTTGTGTTGCACACTTTGCTTGGAGGCGACGCGAGGACGCGGAAACCGCCGCGCGGAGCCATATTTTCAACGTCAAATTAAAATTATAAATAATGGAGCTACAATTCCGGGAGTCTCGACTTATTGTGCTGAAATTTTCTCCTCTTTCAGGATCTTTATTGAAATTTCAGCTATCTTCAATATTTTTTTAGTTATAGCTAAAAAAGGAGACTCCCTTTTTTCTCTTCGTTTTTTGTTTATAACAATTGCTATTTTTAATTGCGGATAAATTAAAAAATACTTCTTTCTCAGAATTTAATTCCGAATCCAATGTACTAACAACCATATTTTTAGGATTACAATAACTATTTTTCGCAGAAAACTCACTTCTCGACTAGACTAGTGGTTTCCTTCTTATCGGTAAGTAGCTACTGATTTGTAGATTGAAAAAGAAATCTACCTGAGCCAGACCAATTTTTAAGCTGTAAATTTATTTTGAAACTACCAAGGCTACAACATAAATAACGATTTTATGTGGGACACCCTGTACGTAAAATTTAATCTTATTCTAATAAAGAAACATTCGTACATATTATTGGTTTTTTATGCGTTATATTTTCGTACTACTTAAGCTTTACAAAATCTTATTACTTAGGTACTTTTAAAAAATTACCCATATTTATAAATCAAAGATAATATCAGACCATTATGGGCCCCATATTCTTTAAATAGTGTTTTCCGCAAAAACAAATAATTTCAAACATTTAATAACTGAATAATCTAAAGCTTATCAAATAATAGGAATGTTATGTCATACCACCTGAGTATTTTCAAAGACGCCGCAGTAAAACGAATAAACAGGTGCAAAAAACGATCATATCATTAAGGTTTTAGGTGCTGAAATCTACGAAAATACTATCTTTTTTATATATAATTCCACATGTAAATATTCTTATAACATTTTATTTTTGTGTTTACTTTTGTTCTACACGTTCTACTTTTAAGAATATGGCCACCTTATGCTTTATTTTAGCACGCATTTTGTAATAAGCCAACTCTGTGTTTTTGCCTTCATTTTCAAAGGTAGCGACACCTGTGACAAAGTATACAAACTAATTATACCTACAAATTCTTGTTTGAGATAGAAATCACTAAAATTCTGGTTTAAGTATAGAAAAAACATGGAGTCATGTGTAAAATGTTGTCATTTTACTTGAGGACACAAATTATAGAATTGTTAATAAATATTAATCTGAAAATTAAATACAAATGATCCTGTGTCCGTTCTAGTGAGTGAAGTAGTTTGGTTATTGTGCCTGACCTAGTTCCGTCGTAAATGCAATATATTGTCAGACTAACAGTATGGTTAAAATTGAGGTACTTTGGCATTTATTTAAATTATTCTTCTGTTCTCATGAGCATTGAAATTTATTCCACTCACTAGCAGGAACCATTGTGAATACATTGATATATAATAATATTCAATTATATTAGTTTCTTCGACGATTTGTTTCCTCATCTGAAGCTCTGTTACATGGTAAAAATATACATGCTAAATCGCCCCCTTAAAGGTTTATTTAATACCTACCTTTTTTGTATAAACCTCTTTTCGCTAAGAATAATAGTTTTTTTACGCGAGTTAAAAAACCACTTTTCCATAACTTTGACCATTGTTTAAATAAAGTTACCCAACTAGTCTCGAGTTGATTTTTTGATATTTTATTTATAACACATTTCCGAACAATATTCCGCAGAAAAACTTCTAATAGTATTTTTTTCCCGAAACAGGCTGTTCCATGTCTATAATGACTGGACTATGAAGCTTCTAACCTCTGTAGATTTTAGTTCCTGTATTTTTGTCGTATCAAAGTATTTAACATAATTTGCATAACCTGAATTACTATGCATATTAATGGTAGAAGGAAAAAAAAGTTCAAAAAAGTTATCTTTTTTTTTTTTTATTTTACAATTAGTAGTATTAGGAAGTACATTCCTAAGAAAACACTAAAATTTAAATATTTCGAAAACTATCAACTTTTAGATAATGCATATTATGGTTCATTTGACTGCAAATTGTCTGTACTAACATATCTTCAAAGGAATACGTCGACTTACCAGTCGCCCTTTATATACAGGCTGATTCAAAATTTAGTAAAAAGAATTTAGGGGTGTATTTTTGAGGTCAAAACAAGACTTTTTTTTCCTATAAACGTGAGTCTACAGATGCTTAGTTTTCGATAAAGATGTTAAAATTTTTGATTTTTTAGGAATACTTTACAAAAAGATTTGAACTTGGGGTAGGGGGTTTTTTAGGATGGTAAATTTAAATATATAATTGCTTTTGACGCTGCTTATAGAGGGCGCCACTTATAAGGGTACGCTTGAATTAAATTAGCCCACACTTTTTTACTACTCTGTACATTGACCTTTCGTATTAGCATGTTTATTCCCCTATCAATTTTAAGCAAAAAAGGTATACTAGGTTGAAATCTCTCAGACCAACCGATATTGGTCAATGAAGAGTTAAATACACACCATATTTTCAAATTTTATTAACTATGTATTTACGATGAAAAATTTTAAAATTTATTTTCACCATCTAATCAGTAATGCAACGATCTTGAATTTTAGCTTTTATAGTTTTTTCAAGAAAATCACTGCTGACTAAATGGTAGTATTGTCACTAGTCAGCAACGATTTTCTCAAACATGGTTAGCTGTATCAAAAAAATGTAAAGAACTAAAATTCGAGATCTCTGCTTTACTGATTAGATCAAAATACATTTTTAAATTTTTCACCGTAATAGTCAATAAAATTTGAAAATATGGTGTGCATTTAACTCTTATCAGTCAAATCTCAGAAATGGTTAGTCTGAGAGATTTCGACCAAGTATATCTCTTTTGCTTAAAATTGATAAGGGAATAAACACAATACACAGGGTAGCAAGAAAGTTAGGTCCAATTTAATTAAAGCGTGCCCTTATAGGTGGCATCCTCTACAAGCAGCGCAATTAGTAACGACATATTTAAATTTAGCATCCTAAAAAATCAACGTAGCCCGTTTTATTCCAACATTCAATCTGTTTCGAAATTATTCCTAAAAAAATCAAACAAAATAAAAAACTAACACATATCGAAAACTAAGCATTTGTGGATCCACATTTATATGAAAAAAAGTCCTATTTTGACCTCAAAAATATGCGCCTAAATTCTTTGTACTGAATTTTAAATCAGCCTGTATATATAAACAAAGTACGCGAAGCACCAATGGCTCCATCTGTAGTGCTGACTTCCTATCAAGCAGTTCGATGTCTACTATGGTAGGAAGTGACGTGTTTCCAGGCACTTTGTTGCACGACTAGTCGCCTAGATGGCGAAAACAAGTGTTACCTTACCACAGACCGGATTCGGACTTATTGGTTCTCATCAGTGTGCCATAGGTGAGACAACCGACGACCGACCCAGCTGTTCTAGTGTCGTGAAATCACGATAAAGAAGTACAAAGTACGCGGAGCACCAATGGCTCTATCTGTCGTGCTGACTTCCTACCAAGCAGTTCGATGGCTACTATGGTAGGAAGGTCTGTGTCTGGTGGGTTAAACTGACGAGCGATCCTAGCTGTTTTTCTACTAGGTAACACTTGTTTTCGCCATCTAGGCGACTAGTTGTGCAACAAAGTGCCTGGAAACAGGTCGCTTCCTACCATAGTAGCCATCGAACTGCTTAGTAGGAAGTCAGCACGACAGATAGAGCCATTGGTGCTCCGCGTACTTTGTACTTCTTTATCGTGATTTTACGACACTAGAACAACTGGGTCGGTCGTCGGTTGTCTCACCTATGGCACACTGATGAGGACCAATAAGTCTGAAACCGGTCTGTGTCTGGTGGGTTAAACTGACGAGCAATCCTAGCTGTTTTTCTAATATATATATAGCAACATCTTACTTGTAACTAAATTATCCAAATTAACAAGTGATGAATTCTCTCCCAGAAAACTCAATGGTGTCTTTTTTGTTGCACTCGTGGCAGGCTCTGGTTCTCCTAAGCTCAATGCATCACCCAGCAGATTCAACTCGAATGGATCATTGGTGGTACTATCATTAGTACCATTAGCTTTTGGAGAAGTTGATTTATTCCTGTTCGTTATAACATCAAATTCATCTAAATCAGTTGAAGAGCTTTGACTAGCTGGAGACCACGGGTCATGCTTTGCAGATGTACCATGTGATAGAGGCATTGGTGAGGTGTGTAAATTAGTTGGAGCCGTCCAAAGATCAGGTTGCTGGCCTGCAGCTGCAGGGGTCCAAGGATCTACGTTACGAGATTGTTCATGAGGAGACATCAATGAGGGCGCCTTCCATGGCGATGTTTGCTGTATAAGAAAACATTAATATTTTGTATCCATTTACTACTAAAATTATTAAATTCTGAAGTGGACCTCCAAATGACCCCTAAGTTTGACCTCTTGCGGAAAACCAAATTCATTATCATATGGCCCCCTCAAAATCTTACAACTTTTGTACTGGAAGTTTTTCAATTGGAGGTCATCCTACAAAGTTATTCGGGGTCATCGATTAAAACAGAACACCCTGTATACGTATAAGTTGTCCCGAAGTTGTCATGCAATATTTTATCAGTGTATTGTATTATTATACAGGGTGTCTGAGAATAACGTGTACAACGAAGACCACAGATTCGAGGACTCAAAATAGGCAGATTTAGGCTAATTCACCTATATCCGAAATCGCTTACGTTTGGCCGCTAGATGGCCTCAGTTTGTAAAAATTTTTTGAATTTTGTAAATAACATGAATATGTATTATTCGATTTTGATTATTTCCTCCTACAGAATTGAGGGATGGTGATAATATCTGTTCATAACTTTTTGCTCTTTCGATAATGACAACTATTTTTTATTTGATAGGGTGATACCATTTGGAAGTTTTTAGGCCTCTTGTAGAATTTTAATTAAATAAGCGGTTTTGGTACAAAAAAATATTTTTTAAATGTTTACATTATTTGCCACCCATATTACAATACTTAACAAGGTGCTGGTAGGCTCTGATTTTGTAGGTTGACTGTAATTTCGGTTTGATCTTTTACTAACTTTCACTGTAAATGTCCGGCAGTCTCTGAACCAAAGATTCCCTCATTGACGGATTGGTAGAGGGGATAATGTTCCTGTTAACCAGAACTTAACACCTTGCGACTATTATCTTCAGGCACTGAAAACAACAGTGTATGTTTCCACATCTAACACTGAAGAATTGTGGAGGCATATCCTAAATGCCATAAATAGCCCTTAACAACTGCAAAGGGTTTCCTTAACTTTATTCGCCGAATTAACCTTTTTGTAGAAAAAGGGTGGTGATTTAGAACAGTTTTTATAATAAGTTGTACTAAATTTAATCAGCTTTATTACTTTTATCTCCAGCATTTTTTATTGTATTTGATTGTTTTTACGAATTATTTTATAAAATTAGGCACGTTGTAAATAACTTTGATTCTTTTTATTTGTGTGTATCCATATCGAAAAATGAAGTAACATGGTATATCTTATCAAATTAAACACTCATTAAGAATTGGCAGGTACAATCGGCGCCACCCAAATGTGAACGGCAATATTGTACCGTGTAATTTAAACTTCAAATCATAGTCGTAAAATTCAATAGTTGTCAAATATACACATATGTCATTTAGAGCAAACGTAATTAAATGTAAACAAGTAACGTGAAATATGCCGGAGCATTTAACTGAAGCGCATAGAGCAAGGGCTATAGCTAAATTAGAAGATAATTGGTCTTCAAGTGAAGTGGCTGCTGATTTAAATGTCAGTAATAGTTATATATTATATTATATATTTTATATTAAACAACGCTGGCGAGAACAATAATTACAAAGATCTATCAGGCAAGGTGTCGGAAAGGTTTCCAGCGACGCGGAAGACAATGCCTTGGTCGAATTTATCCATAAGAATACCCTCTCTGTGTTACGCCACTAAAAAAGTCTGATTTACTATGATAAAATCCAGATGAAATTTCCATAACTACTGAAATGCATTCACATTTGGGTGGAGTCAACTGTACAATGACTTAAACATCAAACTGAAATTACAGTCAACCTACAAATTCAGTGACTACTAGCACTTTGTTAAGTATTGTAATATGGGTGGCAAGATAATGCAGACATTTACAAAATATATTTTTTTTGTACCTAAACCGTTCATTTAATCAAAATTCTACAAGAGGCCCAAAAACTTCCAAATGGTATCAAATAACCTGAGGGTTGAGCTATTTACCAGGCGCATCCCTGGGTGGCGGATAGAAGGAGCCATAGGATCTCAGTTCTGTGGCTAGGGTTGTCATAAGCAGGTCCTCTGGGGCTAAACCCCTGGCTTGGACTTTAGCGAAAACACCCGCGCCATTATTCTATGGCTAGAAATTGGCCTCAATGATTTGGGATCGAGGGGGATTATCCCTCTTTATCCTGCCTCATCTCGTGTAGGCCTGGACAGCCTTCGTAGGTGGGCCCCATCCGTCGTCTACCCCGACCGCAAATGCGGCCGGTGTAGGCGCTTTGTGGGACCTCCTTTTGTCCTGGCTGGGCCCCGCCGGCTAGGGCCCTTTCTTCTGACGCTCTTCTTGAAGACACCCTGCGGACCAGCTCCCACGTGTTTGTGACGTGCGTGGTGATCCGTGTTGTTGGAAGAAGGGTGCTTGGTGGTTGAGCCTGCAACACGCCACTTCAGTCTGGGATTCGACTAGACGGGCGGCTGGAAACTAACCCACTCCCAGCCAATCGGCTGCGCCATCCTGTTAAAGGACCGGCAGGGTGAGCTCCTAGGACAGAGAGCGCATAGTGGGCTGCAGAACTGGGCGTCGGTTGGCTTCGTCATTCAGGGATGCACAACCCTCTCACGTCGTTGCCCTGCCTTCGGGAACTATATCCACTTGGCAGCCCTGGTGACTGCACGTGTTTGCCGTGCACTATCAAGTGGACGAACATAACAAATTCTACAGGGATGAAAAAATTGCCAACCCAGCGACAACACTCACCACAACTGGGACCATCTCGAAATGTCACCCCAATTGGGGACACACAGAAGCCTCATAGGGGCAAACAAATATATAGAATGCGCACCTACGCCTCAGGTGCCACCCACAACGTCTGGGAAGTGTAACCCAGTGCGGAAGGTTGAGCAACCCAAAGGTCTGCCACCATCTGCATAGGGTCAACACCGCTCAAAGGGAACGGGACCGTCCTTAAGGAAGGCAGAGTACCTGCACGGTGTGCCACCTTAACGAAAGGCGGAACTGCACCAAAGGAGAAGGTACCCTCAAGAGGTACCACCCTCTAAGAAAAGAAACAGGTCGGGTACTTTATCAGAGGTGACTTCGATGAAATATAAGAAGGTTAAACAGACCACTGTCAGTGATGCCCCATAAGGATAGCCTCAACTCCTCCATTTCTGGTGCAGAAAAAGGAGGAATCCTCTCCTTCCCGCAGGAGGATGTGAGGATGACTACCAATAGCAACCACAATAGGGTTGTTGACCAAATTTCAAAAAGTAGATAATATAATTCTACACTTACTAATTAGTGTGTATGGACAATTAGAGATTGAGAAATGCGTCGGAATAGTTTTAAAATAATTATTTAAAACTGATTTTTATATAATATTTCAAAACGGCTGTGACGTCATAAGGGGCACCTTGTAGTGAAATTATGTGTAGATGATTGCATAAAGGAAAAAAATTGGAGGAAGAAGATGCTCTGTCAACACTGTCAGTAGTGACAGTCTGTCAATGATACCTTCGCATAAAATATTTTCAAGTCTACGAGTTATTTTCCTTAATCTTCGAATTCCATTATTAAGTAAATTTATTATTTAGTAATAAGCATTTAATACCTTCCTTCCCTTAGAATTGAAGTAGAATGTGTGAATGGGGATTTGTGAAAGCTATTCGCAAATTTTACCGAAAATTGAAATTTTTATGATCATGAATTGAATTTTTAAACGACCAACCGTTTTAATATTGGCGAAATCAGAGGTATAAAAGCAGTCAGGTAAGGATTAACATATTTAATGAATGATTTTATTGTGTTTATTTATAATATAAATAATAAATATAAATACCTATTTATTTACGGAAAATTATAGTGCAGTTCGGGAGTCTTATGGAGATAATGCAATTGGCTATGTGGAATGTGGAACAAAACACCACTTAAATTTTGTTGAATCCATTACCATCAGGAAATTAATAATAACTATCACAAATACTCTTAATTGATAGACTGCTGTCACTGTGTCACTACTGTCACTTTTGTTTAAAAAACAGGAAACAGGGCAACAGGGTTTGATGAATAATTTTGATATATTTTCTTCTTCTTCAAAATTATGCAATAGGATCGCTACTAGCTTCTTGTTCAATTGCCCCTTATGACGTCAGACTAAGCTGGCTAAATACCCTCTGGGTGAAGGCCAAAAAAAAAGAAGAAGACGTCAATTAGTTTTTAAGTATCACAAAAATTCATAAATGATTTATACCACTAATTTATCATATATTTAAAATTTTACTATTCAGGCAGGTTCTTTTATATAAAATCTTTGTATCAACAACAATTTGTATATGGTTTGTTTTTATAGTCAACAACCCTATTGCAGTCAAAATGGTTGCCAATAAGGTAAGTGTGATACAGTGTAACCTGCAACACAGCAGGGTGGCAACGGCTGCCACAGCTTAATACAGCTGGAAGAGTCCGTGTCGGCGCCTTTGATGTGGCGGTCGAGAACCAAGCGAGACGGAATCGTGCTCTCTCAGATTAAGCGGAATTGTCGGCGCTGGATTAAAATAATTTTTATTGAAATAAAATATTTAGTTTCTACCTGACAGTACCATAGTAGGAAATTTTAATAATATGAAATTTGAATTAGAATATTACGTGGTATGACAGTAAAAGTAGAAAATAGGTATTTTAGATAGGTAATAGGTTTTGTACTTGGAGTTAATACGGATTATTAAAAAAAAACTTGAAGAGTAATTAAAATTCCTTGTTGTAAGTTCCTGTTTACTGACGTAATCCTTAGAGAAGAAAATGGTTAAAATCGTGGTTTTTTCGAACAAAAAATCGTTAATATCTCGAAAACGGTAGATTTTAGAGAAAAGTTGCATATGAACATTTTTGTTCAGGATACCCCAAAAAGCGTATAAATATGTGTTTCGAGCGAAAAAATCGAAAATTACGAATTTGTTTAAAAAAAATTGTTTAAACAATTTTTAACCATTAGTAACGTCTGGCAACATGCGGATATGATTCAAGGGTCATTTTTTTAGTAAGATTATGAAAAAAAAATCGAATGAGAATCATGTTCC